GTATTCAGTGCCATTATCTGTGTGTAAGATTTGAATGTGTGTTTGAAACTGAGTATGAATCATGTGATAAAAATCAATGAACGTTTGGTAAACATCTGTTTTTTCTTTTAACAGAAACACCTAGCTCACTCGTGTGTGATCGTCAATAAAGCTTATAAACCACTTTGAGTGTGTGCGATTTGAAACCCTGGTAGGGCCCACAAGTCACTATGGATTGTTGTGAATGGTTTTGAAGCACGATAAGGAACACTGGAAAAGAGGTGCGATGGTGTTTTGCACGTTCACAGGAATCACAGAAAAAATCGGCGCAATTTTTATTTGAGCAAATAGATGGAAACAATTGAGTCATATAATGGAAATTAGGGTGTCCTAACCGTCTGTGCCATAACTCCAAGTCACTAGTCCTAGGGAGAGACACTTTATTACAAGAAATAGTACGGTGATCAACACAATCATCCAGGTAGTAGAGACCATCAAACTCTTTAGCAACGCCAATCGTCGTCCCCGTCAACAGATCCTGAAAGACACAATAAGTAGCAAAGAAATCAGCATGGCATCGTTCTTCTTGAGCAAGTTGACTTACAGATAATAGATTACATCTTAAGTTTGGAACATGAAGGACAGTATGCAAAGTAAGCGTGGCAGATATTTTAATGCTCCCTATACCAGCAACCTGGGAGTCTGAAGCATCAGCAATCTTAACAGGTGGTAAATTAGTGGTAGAGGTATATGAGGAGAATAGGGTAATATCATCAGTCATATGATCAGATGCTCCGGAATCAACAATCCAACATTGTCCAGAGCTCATACCTTTGATAGTTGCCAATGCTTTGAAAAAATTACCTCGCTTAACCACTGTGGCCGTGGGCTGCTTCCGAGACTGTTGACTGCTTTCCAATGCAGCAAGTCGTTCAAGAATTTTACTCAGTTGATCTTCCTGGTGTCCCGGATTTGAGGAGCCTATATCCTCATACGTGCAACTTCTGCCACATAACCACGTCCGCCCCCTTTCTTGGCCTCCAATTGCAGGTTTCCCGTGGGGGTCCCAACAGGTATCCTTGGTATGACCCTGTTTATGACAATGCTCACATTGTGGTCTGGGTTTTGTGTTACCCGTACGCTGGTCAGTGGAACGAACAGCCAATGCTGATGGCTCAACAGTAGGGGGGCGAGAGACTTGGTCACCTTTTAACATGACCTTCTTCCTTGAGTCCTCACTGCGAAGCATGGCAAAGGCACCACGAACTGTAGGAAGGGGGTCCTGACTTAAAATTCTACCCCGAACATCATCAAATGAGGAATTGAGTCCGGCTAAAAGCTCAAACAGACGCTCCTTCTCAATCTTCTTTTTATTGTTGGCTGCGTGAGATGCACAACACGGGCTATCATCACTGATGAGATCCAATTCTTGCCAAAGTGTCGTTTTGGCAAGGTAATAATCACCTAGGGAGAGAGAACCCTGCTTCAGGTCCCATAACTTGGTTTTAAGATCAAACACTTGGGAGGCATTTTCTCCGTCACCGTAAGCCTCTCGGATAGCGTCCCACATTTCGCGTGCTGGAGACAGGAACATGAAGCAGCGCTTGAGAGAGGGAGCCATCGCGTTGACGAGCCACGAGCAAACCATCGCGTCTTCGGCCTTCCAAAGCTTCACGGCCTTGGCGTCGGACGATGGTGGGGGCGGTGCATCACCAGTGACGTGGCCTAGCTTGCCACGGCCTTCAAGGGCAAGTCTGATTGACTGAGCCCATTCCCGATAGTTCTCACTAGAGAGCTTCTCGGGCACAATGAGGACGGCCGACGTCTCGAACATAGTGGACAGGGGACGCGACGCGCCGCCAACAGTGGAGCCACTGGTCACTCCCGACGTCGCGTGCGACTCAGGCAGGGAGGTCGACTCCTTCTCACTACCAGAAGATTGGGTCATCATTGCCGTCGCCGTTCGCCTACAGACGCTCTGATACCATGTAGCGAAGGGTAACGCTTCTGATGTATATTAATTCTTCTGTACATTGCTGAATCAATTTGAACAAATATATATACAAGAAGAGAGTGAATGGCCGATTATGATGGCCTGATTCTGTGCGATCACAATCACGCTAAAACCGGGAAGAATAAAATCAAATATAATCTCCCTAACGCTCTCGATCATATCCCGTAATCAGATTTACAATTAATCCCCAAGATATTATCTTATCTTATATCCTACAAATTGTTAGTAGCTTTAGCAGGAACTTTGATAGCTATAAATGGATAATCACTGTTGAATATTGTCACTTCATATATTGAACGATTAAGAGGAATTATATTTTAACTTGGGAATTGGGATCAGTTAATGTCATACTGTGGTGAATCGGTGCAATAGGCGTAGTTGAAGATGTGAGCTTGATTTTCAGTCTTGCATGCAAAAATTTATTTTAACTTTTAATACCTGATTAGATTGAGAATTGAGTGGTGCAAATTTTAATAATTTGAATTATTTGGCGTGATTCACTCTCGGAATGTGAATTTTCCAATTCAGGGCTGCCCCCCCTTGCTGACATTCAGACCACTCCAGATGGGATTCGAACACGAATTTGGGTCGCCTTGACTCTTTTCTTCTTGACCCTTCTCACTTTCTTCCAATCAGTTGCACGTCGTGTGGCCAACAAACTTCCTACAATATTAGCCAACGATGGTCAGAGTACTTCTGAACCAACGCTTGATGCAACAAACAGGGACTGTCATCTTTCTTCACCGCCTTCAGCAGCACATACAGAAGAAGCAGACCAACTTTCCTTCATGCTAAAGAAGTTGGGTGAGCTTGAAGAGAAGGTTGACACCCTTCAATCTAAGCCATCTGAGATGCCTAATGAGAAAGAGGAATTGTTGAATGCTGCTGTCTGTCGCGTGGATGCTTTAGAAGCAGAGTTGATTGCTACAAAAAAGGTAGGGTTCTCTTACATTTGTGGCTGTTCACTTTTCCCCAGTCGGGGCCAATTACAGTCATTCACCTTCAAAATGAACTCAAATCATGTCTTTCTTGTCATCTGTTTCTACATCTGCATTGGAGAATGGTTGATATAAAGCATGGATTTGTGAGGCAATAGGATTTTAAAGCTAATGAATTGAATAGAAACATCTATTAATTTCTGCTTGCATTTGACTTAAGGCAGCAAAGCTGGCATATACGTTATGTGGGTTGGTCAGTGGGTTTGTTTATTTCTGGTCTGACTGATGTCCAAGTAAAGCTTGATCATATTGCTTAAGTTTTCATCAGTGCAAATTTCCATTTCCTTGCATCTCGTGTCGTGTTGAATTATTTGAATCACTTAATGGCCTTGTGCTTATGTGGAGAATACAAAATGCCTTTCACTTATTGTTGGCCCACTTAGAGCGGGACTTTATTGTTGCATTTACTTGATTTTGCTTCTTTTACGTGACTTGTTGCACAGGCTCTCCATGAAGCCTTAATAAGGCAAGAAGAGCTGCTTGCCTGCATCGATCGTCAAGCAGCAGCAAAGTCACGGGTAAGTTGGCTGAGCTGTTTTTCTAAACAGTTTTTTAAGGGGACGTTTTTTCAAATCTCTAGTTCTGACGTGTGGCATTTCCTTTATTTTGCTGCTTGGGCATCAGAAAAAGAAGTTTTGCTGGTGAATGTTGCTGCTACGAGAGAGACTACCCGGAGGAGGATTTGTTTCTAAAGTCACGGTGTTTATAATGCTGATGAAAATGTGATTTTTTTGGAGTTACTTAAACGCTACTTGTGACTTACCCGCTGTCCTAAGATGCCGTTTGATATATGTTCAACTTTTTTTGGATCTTTCAAAATTCGTTTATAAGACATTTGGGCTCGATATATGTAAAAGGATAATTTTTCAAATTATTATTTAGGATATATAACATAAATTTCAATTGTTTCTGATGTTATTTAGGATGCTTAGGGTTGTTTTTTTTTTTGGGGGTTAATGATGTGGTTAGTGATAATATTTGTCAGTCTCCATGGTAGTTGCAACCGGAATGTGCATTTATACCTTATTGCTAGGGCGTTTGAACTGTCTTAATATAACTTTATATATATAAAAAATTCTTTCTAAAGCATACTTCGAACTTAGAAATTGGATATAAGTAATAGTGGCCCAAAATAAAAAATGAATAGACAAGAATTTGGAGATTATGAGGTCTGAAATCGCCAATTGAATAAGGTAAGAATCGGAGGACTTTGAAACTGTTATTTGAGAGTTTAAGGATTTCGATAGTTATCAGGAAAAATGTGAGGAAATAAAACGAAATCTGAATTTTGGTGTTGTTACCCCGGCCAATTCCACTATGGTTTATGATCTTCTAAGCCCAAATGTTTCTTGTACCAGTTGACCATCCCAAAATCTAATACCGATTCAAGTTCAACAAAGTATTTGATCACTACCAATATTACACCATGGATTTTTTTTTTAAAAAAATTCTAAAGAAAGTAAATCGATAAAAATGTCTGAAAAATTAGTCAATTCTAGAGTCATCTTTCAAGTATTAAAATAGTCCTGTTAAATCAAGCTGAAGTTCATCAATAGACTGTACACTTCAGGTCAAAATAACCAAAAAAAAAAAAAAAAAGAAGCTGTGCACTGACACTATAAAACGAACGTTAATAAAAGATGCCCGCCCAAGTGAGTCACTACAACATGTCTCTTACGTACTCATTTTATGAATTCGCACCGTTAAATTGCCTCAACTTGAAATGAGTTGCCCGAGGATATTGAAAATAGAACTTCTAATTCACCAATTGACTTGGTACGAAACATACAGGAGCCCAAACAAAACTGGCGATATCATAAGAGTATGAACATGTGAAAGGCGCAAAACTTGAGTGGCAGAAAAATATGTTAAGAAATCAAAAGTATTCACATCACAGAGAACAATGTACACGATTTTTTTAGACAAAGCAACAATATCAAAATAAAAGAATGGAGTTGAAGATGGCCAACTCATTTTCAATACAACAGGCACAGGCGTTTCCTTCAGCTTTACCAGCGGAACTGCATTCCCATACCCAAGAAGAACATCAGAATGTTTCTCAAATATATTAAAAGGAGAGGGTAAAAAGAAAAAGAAAAACTAATATCAAGTCACATACAAGTCTCCTTTTCCTCTTCTTCTTATCAATGGCTGCTTGGAGCTCCCCCTGTCGAGCAAGTGCATTATCAAGCTCCTATTCCCACAAACCACACGATACGGTTAGTCTTATCCATCTCATTTCTTGTATAGAGGGATGATAATGAAACGGGATGGTTTAAAAGACAAATCTTTCTAATCCGTAGTTCTTATCATTGATAGTCTGAGTTGAGTACCTTTTTGGCTTCATTCACTTGATTCTCTAGAGCACTGACTCTCGCAAGAGCAGCATTCAACATTTCCTCCTTTTCTGGAGGCATGGGAGGTTTGCTAGCCAGAGCATTGACCTTTTCTTCAAGCTCAGCCATGCGCTTCATCAGCAACATGTGGTCGCAGCCGGTAACTGGTGGTGGTGCCGGCAACTGACGATGCCCTTTTGTCATGGCTCCGTCGTAATGTTCTGAGTTGCTTTGAAGTGCTGCTTCTGTGAGCTTCCTAGGCATGTTCTTCGTCACCCTAATCAATGTCAGTATTCCCATTATTAATGTCATGAACCTTCCTACTATTTGACCGCTCAATCTATCATTAGGCTTGGCAGCTAAACAATCTGCAGCTTCAGCAATTCCAACATCAGAATCTAACAAACCCTATTCAACTAGCATATCTTAATAAATTGCATGTTGATGGCCAAACAAGCAAGAATCACAAGGCACTAACAAGATATGTAAAGGCTTGTTAACAACTATAGAACTGCACGTAATACCTTTGGAAATTGCAAGGTTATCTTTTGCTCTTGACCAAGGTGAATCAACAGTTTTGTCCACCATTGGGACAGAGACATCATATCTGTAACCACTCATTTGCTTTGCAATCTGCAATACATAGTGGGAAGAATTCAAAAGAAAATGAAGGTTGACAGCGTATTTGGAAACATGAGAGAAATTAGCATGAACCCAGAAATCTTTTTCATTGATCAAGTGATGACACTTGTTACAGTTTTTCTTAGTATAGATAAAAAAGAAGATAAGTTGTCCTCGCAATGCTCATGGTTCTCTGTCCTCTGGCATGGCAAATTTCACCACAATATGCAGTTTCCTTGAACTATCAAGAAAAAGTTTATAGCAAAAACCAATAGTGAAGTCTAGGAAACTTACTTCTGGTTTGGCATGCTCCACGGTTGGCGATAAGCATTTTATGTTCTTGAAAGAATCGCCTCCCTTAATGTTGTAGCAATCAGAAAGAAATACGGAGAAGAATGTTTCAGAACAAGAATTGTTATTGCACGGTGAAACTTTCAAAAGATGTGAAAACGAGTACCTTTTGGTAAACTGCTTCATCCTCATTTATTGTTTTCTCCTCAATACCAGCCAAGGCTCTCCTTTGGCATCTCCCCTCACCATTTTGAACCATCTAATCATCAAAAGAACACACTCCATTCTTGTCTTATGATGCCATAAAATGAAGCTAGCCAACAAAACTGGTAGTTCATCAGTAAACTACCTTGAAGATTTCTGGGTCATTCCATGGTCCCTTGTCTGAGAGCATGCAACCACCTTTATCTGCGCAAGTACAAGTACCTCCCAAGAACTCTGGAAGTTCACTGGTAAATAAGAAGGACCAATAAGAAGTTAAGGGAAGAACTATGCAGTGTCATGAGATTTAACTCAAGTGAATTTTGTTCTGTTACTCGTGAGTTAGGTAGGCTTAATTTGTGTGGAAATGAGATATTGTATACTCAATGAGAGGAGGGGCAAAATTGAACCTGGCATCAATGATTTCAAGCAACTTGCTCTGGTATTTGTTGCCTAGGACCTGGAAAATAAATCATCAATAAACTGTCGTGTGTGACTGCTTTGCCAAATTGAAAGGATACTTCAAAAGAAGTCACTAGCTATTGCTTAGACTTCAGAGATGAGAAGTTTGAACAGTTAGCAATAGGTTTTAGCCTCAAACCTCTGCTTTGTCATAGATGGGAATAAAAATGGCTTCAAAGAGATAAGGGGATTAGAAATACGTACATGGATTTTTGCAGAGGTCTTGGGGTCAAGGAATGACTTCACGGTGTTCCACAAGAGCCTAAATCCAGAGCCAGCATTGATGATGAACATTCGGTTCAAGGTCTAAGTGGAAAGAAAGGAAGATCAATTAGTGCATATTGCGATTATATCATTTACTCTGGGCAGGTACCTTGTGAGATGACATAACAATCCATATCTTTTTGTCATCATTCTCTCTCCTAATACATGATTTTATGATTGTAACTGATTCAATTTGGTAGAAAAAAGCTAGAGCATACGTAGCCAAAGGAGTACCTCAGGATAGTTGTCACCATCAATCTTCTGAAGCCTCTGAATGAGATCCCTTGCGGCTTTGTTGAAATTTTTCAGTCCCTGGTCAATTATGCCAGCCATCAGTTTTGTTTTACTTACTTTTTAAGTATATGTTTCACATTATTTGTCACTTAATGTTACCGTCAAGATTCTCGCTATAAGGTCTTAAAGTAAACGACGATATATCGTCCTTAATATTACAATGACATTAATATGTATGTATATAGAATTTCATACATACCACTCCTTGCACGTCCAAAATGGTTGTGCTTTGGTCAATGTGTTTCTTTGCTGCAATTGAACAGGCAGGGAACTTCACAACAAAGGTTTTCTCGAACTCTCTTACGTGATACTTAACATAGCGATCCAATGTTGTCACTTGTAACAGCTTGTTAGGATCAACCTGACCCAGTTTTTCAATGTAAACAGGCCTTCCATCCTTATCCACTCCATGATGCCCTTGTGGGTAGTATTTCAGAACTTCGTCTAGTTCCTTAAACTCAAAATCCTTAGGGAACATTTGTTAACTTGAGGTTAGACTTTCAATTAATCAGTGATTGTGCAGGAAAAACATCAGATAGGCTGCACAGGAGTATACCTCCATGATAGTGTCAGCACCAAATTCTTTTCTCCATTGAAGCATGTCTGCCCACATTTGCTTTGTTTTCTCAAAGTCAAACTTCCTTGCTTTCAAGAATCTGTATCATCATGCGGTAACTTCATGCCAAGAACGATTTCAACTCAAAACTTCTACTAAAGTGAATGACCATGAATATTTAAACTATGATATGTAACATGTCCTCTCATACTTGCTATGTGTTTGGTTTTATTTTGGAGGCCATAAAAACACAACGTGAAACCAAACATGTACTTAGTCTTGTAACTGGTTAACAATCATAAGGCCTATGGATAATTTTGACTATGACAAGGGCTACCTTAACATCATATGATGATCGTCGTGCTTGGCGGGTAATAATTCTTCCAAAATAAGCATTTGGCGAAAAGCATCAACCGCCTGCAACTCTTCTGCATCAAGGTCATCCTCAATTGACAGAGACATGACCCTGCTGTGCCTGCGACCTCTCTTTGAAAAGGAACTCTTGAACCTATTTGAAGCACTGATTGCCACCTTCTTTATAGCTCCAACCCTTTTCTTCCTTTCTTCCTCTGAATATTCATTTTCAACACCTGTAGTATTAGGATGAAGAAAAGGGTTTAGGTGAGAACCTGGCTCTGCAAACACCACAGAACCATGTTACCAGATTCTTATTTTAGTTTTAGAGATGTTTGATTTGTCATCAACCTAATAATTTTCCTGAGAAACGTTATTGAACGCTCGGAGACCAGCATAGCTGGGATGGCTCATGGCTGTAAATATTTTGTGAAAAAATTCTGCTGTAGTTTTTATGTTTCTTATCAAGTTCTTGTTTTATCTGCATGCGACGTGCAGATTCTCATTCTTTCATTTTGCCTATTTCACACCTTCATGATCACGAAGTACGCAAAATTTCGAGCATTTCATATTGCAATCCAGCCTATAAACATATAAAGATTCCAGACAAAATGCAAACAAAGAGCAAACACTTACCCAATTTTAGAGGTTCAGGCATCATGGTAGTCTCACACATGATTAGAATCTTGGAAGCTTAATATATAACTCAGGTGAGCAGACCCAGCCTAAGGCAAAAGGATCAAGCGCTCACATACACCAAATATGCCCAATATCTGAGCCCTTGCCTATTTGCCTACACCTGTATCCACCAAAAAACACGTAAGGAAGAAACAAAACCCAGAAAGAAAAATCCGGAAATATCTAACAAGATATAAGAACAATGGAGGTTCGAAAGGTTTAGAAAGAAGAAGAAGATGATGATGATGATGATGATGATACCTTTAGACAAAAATGCAGGGGGGTCTGGAAGAAAATAACAATAGTGAAAAAGCAAATTTTATCATCCGAGTAAATCTCCGGGAGGATGGTACAGCTGAATTTAGAGTTTTGCTAAATAGGATTATTATTATTTTAAAATATGACAGTTCTTCAGTTTTCCAGCTTCCGTTTGCTCCAACGGGAAACACACGTGACAGTTAATACTGGCGAAATGCAAGCCACTCCGTTCATTTAGCAGAAATCCAAGATTGCCTCTAAGATTCTCATATTCTATATTATAAAAGGTTGGTTGGTTGGTTTGTTTGTTTGTTTCTATTTATGGATTGCATGTCTGAGAATATGAGCAAGTTTGATTATGCCACGCAAAGTGTTAATGGCTTCAATGATTGGTTACTAAATTACTTAGTACTCCTCCGGTCCTAATTATAAGACCCAATTTGACTTTTTATTTGGTCATAATTATAAGACCCAATCCATTTTGTCTCTTATATTTATGCATTTTTTTCCAAGATAATCCTTCTAATAATGATAGTTTTAGCCAATATACTTAATTAGCAAGGATATTTTAGGAATGACAACACTTATTTATTATAAATAACCAACTTAACTTACTTCCTTAATTTCCTCAAATAAGTCAATTGGGTCTTATAATTAGGACCGGAGGAGTATTAGAAGAACTGAGCTGGAAGTAGAGGTCAACAGTATGAAGGCTGTGTTATGGGGCTCCACTAAGTTTTCATCCATGGCTGCCTCCTCTCCTCTGCTGCTACTGCAATATGAAAGGCTCATCCCAACTTTCCTGAAATAGAAAGGAGACAAACAATGAATATTACTATCTTCTGCTCTTAATATAAGACCTTGTTTAATTTTATTTGGTCATAAATATAAGAACCCAATCCATTTTGTCTCTCATATTTTTTTTTTAAGATGGTCCTTCTAATAATGATAGTTTTAACCAATAAATTTGATTAGTAAAGATATTTTTAAAAAAAACACATGTTTATTACAAATAACTAAATTAACTTATTTTCTTAATCTACTCAAATTAATTAACTAGCTCTTATATTTAGGATCCAAGGTAGTATCTCTCTACAATCTACATGTCTATTGAATCCCCCTGCCCCAATTTTTTTTTCATAATTCGCATAATTAGAACTCGCAACTCCAAAGATTTTACGGAAGCATTTGGTTATATTCATGACTTTTTTTTCCCCCTCAACCTGTAAATAAGCCACTTTGTTAATGACAAGTTTGGTGAGGAATCAGGTCTTTTACACCATTATGATCAAATTATATTTCACCACCGCTTATATATATTGAATGGAAATTGGAGACTTCATTAGTTGGTGAAAAAACATATCCAGAAAAATAAAAGAAGAAACTCTAACTCATACTCCTCCGGTCCTAATATAGAACTCAATTGTTGAGTTGATTTTGATCTTAAATATAAGACTCATTTTTCATATTTATCAATTTTCTCTAAATTTTTCCTATAAATACTCTCTCAACCATAATCAAGTAGAAAAGAAAGAGGGGGTATTAAGAAAAATGATTATGGTGTTTTAGGAAAAATGTGTTACTTTTCTTATAATTAACTAACTTACCTAACTTCTTTAATCTAATCAAATTAATTAAATAGGTCTTATATTAAGAATCGGAGGAGTACTTGAAGACAAAGTTCCTCATGAATCCCATAGATAATGTTTATAAGTACACGTTAAACTTTTTTTTGGACCAGAAGTACACGTTAAATTATAATAATACATTTTTATTTCTTGAATTCTGGTCATGGCAATTAGCCATTTATTAACGAAATTGCCCAATATGTTTAGCGTGATGAGCACGATATCAATGTTTAATTCCTACCATTTTAAATTTTTGAAAATGATGTGAGTCTCAAAGATAATAGAAAATTATTATAAAAGGAAGAAAAGAAAACGAAAATGTTAAGAGAGCGTCTGTCGATAAGGAGATACCGACGTGGACGGCCAGATTGCGTCGCATGTACGGATAAACTCAAGTGAAGCTCTTTAGCCCCCTCCTGTAACCAAAAAAAAAAACTCAAGTGAAGCTAAATGGGTAATTCAGATGTCAGAGTATTATTTCCTCTCTCCTTATTTATTTGTCAAAAAATAATATATAAAATTCTGAAACTTTTCATTTAATATTTTTATATGATAGAGATATTATTAAAAATAAGTAATAATTATATTTAGAAATTGAATAAATAATAACAAGAATCCAAATAAATATATTTAAATTTTAAAATTTCAAATTAGTATTATTTATTACATTTTAATGACGATTAATAATATTTAAAAAGTAAATAATAACTCATATTTGTAGTCATTCTTAATTTGTGATTTTGAAATGTTAGAGTTATTTTTTTTCAATTTTAAAAAAATGATAAAAAAGAAGATGAAAATTAAATAAAAAATATCAACAAAAATTTGTTGTCATTCGTAAATTTAATATTGTCAACATTAAATAAAGTATTGTTACTAAGTCTGATTTAAAATTTAGTAATTTCTAGCTTTTTTGGGTCATTTTTCATATAAAGATAAATAAAAATTCAAATCAGAGCAAGTGAAAATAGAAATGGACGAAGCACCAATTCACCAAACAATAAAACAGAGAAAAACTATGAACCTTTACATGACCGCCAAGTGAACGGCCAAGATTAGGATATAGGTACCGAGGAAGACATGCCTACAAGTGTCGGTATATGATTGGGCATCTATGGTTTTCCCGCCCTTTAGGCGTAGAATAATAAATTACTCGTGTGGGACCCTGATTTTGCGTTTGCTTGTATTAAAGTCACGTACCTAAATTTTTAATTCCCCACTCTTTCTTTGATTTCCGGAAGTACCCTCTTGGGGATTCAAACTTAATTATATAATCATCGTAAATATTTTATTTTGTTTTACTTTACTTCATATAGTAGTACTCCCTCCATTTACATTGATAAAAAAAACAGTTAAAATTAGTTAAAAACAATTAATGTATAAAAAGTATAATTTTTTTTCTAAAAATGCCCTAATTAATAAGGAGAGAGAGCATGAGAGAGAACAATTAAATTATTAAAAGAAGGAGAAGTGGGAGGGAGAGAGAGTGTGAGTTAGAGATAATAAATATGGATAAAATAGGAAATCAACACAAAAAAGTAGAGACAACTTTTAAGTGTTTCTTATATATAGGAACATGCCATAAGCATCAAATGTCTTTTATAATAAGGAACGGAGGGAGTATCACATAATTGTGAATATTAACAATGCAATAATGTCTGTATTATTTAGTAGTGACAGTGTATTAAATAGGTAATCGGATTATACTAATAATTAAAATAATCTTAACAATTAAATGCACATTAAAATTTTTGACAAATTTGTTGAATGCACTTGGCACAAAAAAATCAGGAGACAAAATTGAAACTATGCTTGAAGGGTGCTCATTCCTGTACCTTATTCCGATAATTTAGGGTTGGGATGGACTCATTTAGAATGAGACTAGGGTAAGACAAAACCAGAATTGGGATAGAACACAATATGGGATGACTTTTGAGACTTCTTAGCCTTTTTTATTTTTTATTCAATACCTACTTTACTTGTTCAGTTTTTCTTCTCCCTGCCTTTTTTTTCCTTTTTCCTAGTTGGTTGGGGTTTTCATTTTTAAGAAAAAAAGAGGAAAAAGGAGAAAAAAGTTAGAAAGAAAAGGGAGGAGGAGGGGAGTTAAAAAATTTTGTCTTTTTATACTCCCCTTCCTCTTCCGCCTCTCCTTCCAAATTGAAGGTTTTTGGAAGAGAAAGAAACAATATGTAAAACTTGACAAATGCATCAATAACATGTTTTTAATATTCCAATGGATTTTTCTGATTTATTTTTCACTTCTCCCATTTAATTCCTTTAACTGTTTTTTCTTCAGTCTTTTGTATGACTTGTCTGCTTAGTTACACGTACATTAGATATATGTATATATTTTAATATATATATATATATATATATAAAGGAAAAATGATACTTGAAGAAGTGTGAATTTGAAAGTTAGCTAGACTTATTTGTCTTTTTGATATTCAACATGTATGTTCTTTTATCATTTTCTCTTGATTTCTCTAGAAGAGGTTTTGACCAGTTAATTATGAGATCTCGAGTTTGAATATGTGTGAATATAAAATATATTTTCAGAAAAGTTATCTTCAATTGAATTTGATAATGTTTAAATTAGTCATAAAAAATGAATGAACAATATATTATTATTGACGAAAAGATAAAATAATAGACTTAATGGGTGAAGATTTTTATTGCAAAAAAAAGCATGCTTTATTTGTTTAATAGTAGTACTTCTTTTATTTATTATAGTGAAAAATAATACACTTCTGATCCTAAATATAATACCTAGTTTTTAGTATAAATTACACTATAAAATAGGTCTTATATTTAAGACCGGAGGAGTAAATGGTTAAGATTAAAGAACATCCAAAGGCGGGCAAACAAAAAAAAGAGAATTACAATCAAATCCCATGAAAGGAAAAAAATTACAAAACAAGTTTCAGAGGTTGTTATTCTCTATTGTTATTATAATTTGTTCAGATTGTTATTGAGACTTTTTAGTAATTATTTCTCTTCTATGAGACTTGATTGTAATTCTTAAAGGAAAAAAATATCCCAAGAACACTAATTTGGGAAAAACTAGGGGCATATTCGGAAAACAAATATAAGTACGCACTCAATATACGGTAGCGTATGCGTATAGTATATCCTCGACCGAGCGTGATCCATACCAGACTGCTCTCCGTTTGGCGGCATTCCGCGTCAACTGGGGTTTTGGATTTTCCTGGGTTTCTCTTTTTCGTTTGCTTTTTTTCACTGCATAGAAGAGGGAAAAATCGAAAGCTGAGAAGAAAAGCATTTCTTTCCCATTTTCCCTCTCGCACTTTCTCACTCACTCTCTTGAGCACTAGCTTCTGGTTTTCTCCTTTTTCGATCAATGCCCATTGCCCCAAACTCTCACAAGTTTTGATTTTTATTGTCATTTGTTTTTTTTCCCCCTTCTGTTTATGGTTTTGTGAGTGGATAAAGCTTGGAATTTTGCAGAAGGTTTTTGGGTCAGAGTCCCTGCTACCTTCTGCGATTCGCTCTGAGATCGGTGTGTACCTTCTTCTTCCTCTTCACGTTTGGGTGCTTTGCTGTTTCTTTTGGCTGGTTGATGTGTCTTTCTTCGCTTCCACATTTCTGCGAATATAGATGGTGATTATTTATCATCTGCATGGTTTTTTGGGTGTTGAATCTGTTGCATGTGCTGTATTTGCTAGTTCCAGTCTTCTACACGATGTTTACATATGGCTCATGAACTATGGAAATTTTGTATGAATTAGTTTCAAAATTGGGGTTTTCAATAATTTTCTCCTCACCTTTCCCGTTAATGTCTCCGTCTCCTTGGATCTTCTGGATTCTTTGATTCATATCTTTTCCGTTCCTGGATTTTGATTCAAGGAGCGTCAATGCGATTGACTTTTATTGACGGGTCTTGTGCGACAGTACTGTATGTTTGATGCGATTTGAAGTTAAAAAGCGGATTCTGGGAAACTTTCTTGTTTATTATGAGTTTGACGATTCAGACTTTACGTTGTCTTCGAATTATTTCTAGGTCTGTAGTTGCAGACGAACGATTCTATAAATGAGAAATTATTTCCGCGCAGATAGGAAAAATCGGCAGGACATATTTAATTTGTTGTGAAGCCATATATGATAGAGACAGATGGTCACTGTTTCAGTGTTTTGCACGGCTATGTAACTTTAGCTGTTTACACTTTACACCTTAGCTACAGAGATGTCCTCTGGAAAATTTGGATTATGCTGCCAAGAAATAATCTTTTGAAGCGTCTTGAAATTTTAGTTGGCCCCAAAAAGGGCCTTGAAATGTTATATCTTAGAAAGTTGCTTGTTTTATATTCATTTTGTAACCTTTACCCTCGCAGCTCACCACGTACTTTATCCATATCATCCTGTATTGCTTCTGTATATGAATGATTTTATGTATAATAGCACTCTGAAGTATGAATCTATTTCTTTGTTGGTGTCAGGTTCCACTCAACTTACAGAAGAATTGGTTGCAGTCTTTTTTTCAGGCTGCACCTTTAAATATTTCTCGTCTTTTGAATTGTATCATGGCCAGTGATTCTGCTGTAATGTCCAACGGCAATGTCAACTCACATCCTCATCCACAGAGGAATTACCAAGTGGTTGTAGCTGCAACGCGGGCTATGGGTATTGGTAAGGATGGAAAACTACCCTGGAGACTGCCTGCTGATCTCAAATTTTTTAAGGAGATCACTTCAATGACATCTGATCCTGGGAAGAAGAATGCAGTGATAATGGGTAGAAAAACATGGGAGAGTATCCCTCTTGAGAATCGCCCTCTTCCTGGTCGCCTTAATGTTGTTCTTACGTGCTCTGGGAGATTTGACATTGCAACTGCTGAGAATGTTGTTATATGTGGGAGCATGTCCTCCGCATTGGAATTATTAGCTGCTTCTCCTTACTGTCTGTCAATTGAGAAAGTGTTTGTTATAGGAGGTGGCCAGATATTTAGGTATATAATATTTTATTTTATTAAAACCTTTTCCACTTCACTTCAAAAACAAAAAAACTTTTCCACTCCTCTATGCCATCTATGTTTTCATATTAATTCTTTCTTATAGCTGATAATTGTTATGTGCAGAGAGGCTCTGAATGCACCTGCATGTGAAGCTATCCACATTACTGAAATTGAGACAAACATCGACTGTGATACTTTCATACTTCCAATTGATTCCTCTGTATTTCAGCCATGGTACTCTTCCTTTCCTAGGGTGGAGAACAACATCCGCTATTGTTTTACCACATATGTACGAGTAAGGAGCTCTATAGCAGATTCCCTGAGTCAGAATTCTGATCAAATTTGTGATGATAGATCAGATTCCTCAAAATTTGAGGTCAAGAACTTCGCTTTCCTTCCTAAAATGATTTTTGAGAGGCATGAGGAGAACAATTATCTCAATCTGGTCCAAGATATCATCTCTGAAGGCACTGCTAAGGATGATAGGACTGGGACTGGCACCTTCTCAAAATTTGGTTGCCAGGTAACATCATGATTGGTTTTTTGAGAGATGGTTGTGATTTATATAATGGCTTATTGTCTCTATATATTTGCAGATGAGGTTTAATTTGCGCAGAAGCTTTCCTCTTTTAACAACTAAGGTATGCAGATATATTGGTTAAGACATCAGTAAATTTACTTTACCTTTCAATTACTTTTTGTTTGTTTTAATTTCGCTGGAGGATTTTTGGGAAAGAAATATTTATTGTATGTGTTGATGTAGTTGACATGGTTTCTTCATTTGTTTCCTAGAAAGTATTTTGGCGAGGGGTTGTTGAAGAGCTTCTTTGGTTCATAAGTGGTTCAACGAATGCCAAGGTAATAACATCATTGTCGAAATACATACACATGCACATGTACACATGGAGTGCCACATATTTCCTAACTAACTTGTCAAGAGGCTGAGATGAGCCTAGTTTAAGTAATCGAAGCTTGCCTTAATATTATTTGAACTTGGGTTCAAATAGAGATTCAGTTATTAGAAGGTTGGGAATGTCTTCAGTCATCTCACAAGCTCAGCACTAATCTTTACTCTAATTATAAATTATAAAAATATCATTAATTAAAAGCGTGTTGTATGTGGGGTTCCTGCTAATCTATATGCAGATGAGCACACTCTTTATCACTTACAAGTTTTCTAAAACAATATTCGTTGGCTTACTTTTGAATAGATAAAATGGAGCATTGTTAGCTAGGTTTGCTCTCAAGGGAGAAAAATGAAATTTGAGGCTTATGCTAACTCCTTCCATGTGGTAATGTAGAATACACAACATATAGTGACATGTTTCACTAACTCAAGAATCGATTTTGGTGAAACTTTTGCTATGCTCTTTGGTGAAAAATGCCAAGTTGCTGTGAAGTCATGACCTGATAGTTCATATCTGCTACAGCTTTAACCATTTCCAGTGGCTATCTGCATAAGCTGTGCCAAAATGAGATTAAAGCACCTGACAGTTTATAAGGAAATTCATGGGGTCGTATTTATATTCTAGCCTAGAGGAAGGAATCTTTCCTATTGCTACAGAAAATGGTTTGGTAGTTGTTTCTGGCTTTCTGCTTGTTCCAATGCTTGCCAATATTGAAACCATGAAGATATATTATTCTATGCAAAACTTTCAATGTAAATCGTTCACATATTGATGCTCTGTACCTTTTGATTGAAATCTATTATTGAAATCTATGTTGTTGACAGGTGCTACAGGAAAAAGGGATCCATATATGGGATGGCAATGCATCCAGAGAATACCTTGATAGGCAAGGCTTGACTATCAGCTTTTATTCATAGAGATAGTACTTTGTGTTTTCGATGTAGTCACTGATTGTCTTGTAACTGCAGTATTGGATTGGCAGAGAGGGAGGAGGGTGACTTGGGACCTGTTTATGGGTTTCAGTGGAGGCACTTTGGTGCCAAGTAGGTGGATCATATTTTTTTCTCTGTAAAGATATTGTTTCATTTGGGGTCTTTTAGCTCAGTTTATCCACGTATCATTCTATAGGTATACTGACATGCATGCGGACTACTCTGGCAAAGGATTTGATCAGCTTTTAGATGTTATTAACAAGATAAAGCATAATCCTGATGATCGGCGGATTATTCTCTCAGCTTGGAATCCAGTGGATCTTAAATTAATGGCCCTTCCACCCTGCCACATGTTTGCACAGGTCTACAGTCCTCTCTGGGTTGTCTTTGAAACAAAGTGAATCTGTACTTCTCCATGCCCCTCCCTTTCTAAGATTTCAGCATCTTCCTTGCAGTTCTATGTAGCAAATGGGGAGTTATCTTGTCAAATGTATCAACGATCTGCAGACATGGGCCTGGGTGTGCCCTTTAATATTGCATCTTATGCTCTCCTGACATACATGATTGCTCATGTTTGTGGTATGCAAATTTTGCGAGCATTTGCTTAGGATTTAGATGTGTAGTCAGATATACGAGTCATTTTAAACTTCAAGGTTTTCTGGGTTTAATAAATGTTTTGTGCCGTCTTTCTTTGGCTGTAATGTCGAGTTTTATGGGTTTCCATAAAACTTTGGTCACTGGTGAAGGTTCAGATATTTATTGACAAGCAAAGAGAACGGAAAGAATTGGCATTGCTTATCTGACAGATGTATATTGCTATGCCCTTTTCTTTCAGAGCTTGTTCCGGGTGATTTTATCCATGTCATTGGGGATGCACATGTTTACCGCAATCACGTGAGACCTCTGCAGGAGCAGCTCCGTAACATTCCAAAACCTTTTCCGGTATGTTTGTTATGTTCAGGAAGCAATTTGACCTGACATGGCTGGCTAAAAAGTACCGACACTGTCTCCCTGATCACCTTTATTTCAATGCAGATTTTGAAGATAAACCCAAAGAAGGATATAGATTCTTTTGTGGCTTCTGATTTCAACCTCGTAGGCTACGATCCTTCCCAGAAGATAGAAATGAAGATGGCCGTGTAACCATCTAGGAGATTGACTCTTAATCCCTTCAGGCTGCCCATGTTTTTTGAACTGAGGCAAGTATCATCCCTTCATAATTAGTACTATATTTTCTCTGACCACTGAACATGGAGATTTAGATTACATTGATGATGTATTCTGCTTCAGGCGATGAAGATATGAGGCTTTTACGTACTTAATAAAGAGAGCTACTAGTTGGAATTGAAGCTTTGGTATAGGGTTGCTGTCAGTGGACATTATTTAGTTCCACATCACATGTATGGTTTGGTGGTTCCTAAGCTGATTTTTAGGTGAACTGCATTTTGTTTTATGTCAGTCATTGGCTGTTTTGACTGTAACACAACGCATACACAAGTCACACGTCGCATACTTCAAATTTGAGATTATAACTCGTCTTATTATTTGCTTTCCTACTTGGTTTTACAATATAGGTGTTCGTTGAATTTGGTGTACAGAATTGGGGGGGGGGGGGAATAAGACAAATAATATTAATCATTGACTAGAATAATATAAAGCCTGTTTGGAATAGTTTATAAATGGTTTTTCAATTATGATTTATGAAAGACGAGATAAGTGTATGAGAAGGGTTTCACGTGGATATAAGTAATTTTGACCTCTTTTCCAAACATGCCTGTAATGGATGTGGTATACAATGAATGAAAAATGATTTTCATTTCGCGGTTGATATGATGATACTTGGCTCTTTATATTTTATCCATTGTTCGTGCTTATCATCGTTTAGACGTCCAAGTCCAAAGTTTAAAATCTGTAAAGTTTAACAGGTAAATTAATTTTTTTAACAGATAAACTTTTAAAAGATTATCTTTATCTCAAATTATTTATATATTAAAATGAACGTTTTTAGAAACTTAAAAAAAAGAAAAAAGAATAATACTCTCATACTACATATAGGAGTTAGTTAATTCACATAAATTAAAACATATTAGGTAAATTAATTATTTAAAGAAGGGTAAAGTAAAGACATCTTGATTTTTTTCTTTTCAAGTTCATTTAACATCTCAATTTTTTTTAGTAGTATAAGTTTATTATTGATTTTTTTAAAAATTAGTGTAATCTTATCCATTACCAACGGACCGTAAATGTCATTGGGATTAAAGTTTCCGCATACGTAATTTAAAAAAAAGAAAAAGAAAAAAGAAACCTGCGGCCTTTTAATCTTTGGCTTGCCAGCACACATCACAGAGATTGAACCTTCCCCTTGCGGCTTGCCTGCGACTGCGAAGATTAACCATTATGAGGACCCACTCCCCCCGTCTTTCCTCCTTCGAACGTTGCGGAGATTCGAACGGAAACACTCCACGTCTGTTCAAAATCAACCAGTGACGTCGACGACGAAGGTCTTCTTAGTGAAGGCCTTTCCTCTGCCGAGTGCCGACTTCAACTTTATCCAATGAATTTTTGTTACTCTTCTTCAGCCTGTGTTGCTTCGCCGCCGCTCTATCTCCTTCACCTTCTTCTCCTTTGCAAACCTGGATCCGGAAACGTCCCTAACTTCGCCTTCATCCTCCGTTGCTTCCTCCTTGGTTGCTCCGTCATTCTTCCGTCGGCAACGAAATCTTTCCCATTGTTCTCTTCGTCGCCGTGGAAGAAGGTGGCTATGGAAGGAGAGGAGAGTTGGGGAATGAGAGAGAGAGAGAGAGAGTCAAGATCATTTTGCGATGTTTATGATCTTGCTTGCAATGTGTGCGATGGTTTCACCAGAGACGATGCAGGACCGACCTCTGTAAAGGGCGCCCGAATACAAAACCAGAGGTTTCTTTCTGAGTGAAAAACCCACGAGTTTCTTCCCCCCCCCCCCGCTAAATTATTTATGTAGAAATTTTAACCCCAACATATGTTAATAGGCGTTTAAAGTTTTGTTAATGATGGGTAGGATCGCACCATCTTTAAAAAATTAAAAATAAAATTGTATCAATTAAAAAAATGGGGGGTATGTCAACCTAAAAAAAAATTGAGGCGCTTTTGAGAGAAGTGGGTTGATTTTCTTGAAATTCTCACGAGACTAGAGATTTAGCCGGCACAAGTATAACTTCATGCACACACAACTTAAGTTTGAGTCATCGCAATAACCAAGTGCTGATGCTTAAGCGTACAAGTGCTTTATTTTATAGATGGAGCTAGTACAGAACTTCCTAATCCATCATTCATGCTCTCTCTCTCTCTCTCTCTCTGACATGCGTTAATCAGTTCTTAGTGAGGGAAACGATGAGATTATTATAAACGAGCTCCTTCACCTGCATGAGTTGCCCAACCTGGTTTGTGAACCTCTGGAACAATTCCTCCATGATTTCATCCCCAAACTGCTTCTTCAGAAGAGGTTCCGTCACGGCTCTCATGTACTGTCCTACAAACTTTGCTTTCATGGGCGTCGTAGTACTCTCATTCATCTCTGCATCCCAACCCAGTTTGCTGTACTCCACTCTTTCTACACTAAACGATCCTTCTTCTTCAACCATCTCCCTCACTTCCTTCTCCGTCGGCCCATAATATGGAATGTCAAATTTGTCCAGTTTGGCCTCCTCAACTCTGCCCTGCAAACCCCACCATTCGAAAGAATGAGTTAAGAAACTGTAGCAAGTTATATTCCCACAATCATATATCAGAACGGACATAGATACCTCTAAAGCCATTTCATGAAGGACCATTCCGACTAGGTTGAAGATAGTTGATGGATCTTCATCCTCAAGTCTGCCACGAAATGTGAGAACCATGCCACCACCTTGTACCAATTCCACTGAACGAAGTTTCAGAAACAGTTTGAAATCCTCCTGAAACTGCTCACAATATGCTTTTCTCACTGCAGGAGGGCTTGTATCTGTTATATAAATGTCTCCCTTGTTTAATGCTGTGCCTCCGTTGCTAGCCAAACCCTTTGGGACCTGTTCATTGAACATACAAGAACAACATCCTTAATTAGTTGTACAAGCTAAAATGAAGATTATTTTAATGTTCTGAACAATCTAGAATTAATTAATGTGTATCTGCTTGCATGCATGTGTTCATTCTGACCTGAGAGAGCCAGTGGACACTGAAAGATGAATGGAAGAAATGGATGGAATTATCTGGGAAAAGCCTTCCATAGAAACTCCCAGGAACCCCGACAATAAAACAAGGTCCAAAGTTGTCTCCTTGGTCTTGTCGGAGCTTGCCGTAGAAATCAGGAAGGGACTGAAAAATTGTGTTGAAGTCATTTCCGGGAAGATCATTGAGGAAAATCTGGAACGAAGGTGGCTTCAGTCTCAAGCTTAAGCTCACTGCATGAATAATTCCCATAATTTCTGATGCTGTCATCAATGTGTTGGGCCCAGAAGAGCATCCCAAGTCTGCAACATTCAAACAATCTGGAAGAATCTTTCTGTAGACTCTCGTGATGTTCTCTTTCACAATGGGCTTCGCTTTCAGCATCACCTTTCTCTGATCATACATAATGCGAAAAACTAGATAAGTTAATTAAGAATGAAACTAATATATTGTCCTAACATGCACGGATATAGCTGCTTAATTTGTTGAATTTCTGGGGAGAGAAATTATATTCATGAAGAACCTGAAGTAAGGAGTTGTTTGCATAGCTCGTTTCTCCAATACCGCCGTTCATGTGAAGCACTGTGTCTGTTGCCATGGATGCTAGCTCCGATTGAGAGTTGGTGGGGTTCCAGAAAGATTAAAATAGCCCACTTATAAATTACATGAAGCACTGCGCAGTTACGTGTCATCCTATCTCATGCTCAAGAATACTCCCTCTTGCTTTAAATCTGGAGAATATTGTGGTCTATTTTATAGTCTTTTGACTTTATTTATGAGGCAGAGAAAGAAGATTTTTTTAGTCATATTTATAGAGCAGTGAGAAAATTTTTTTATATTGATATATAATTTTACCTTATGTTTATTACAGTATTAACTTTGTTTATATGTACGTATATTAAATAGGAATACAGTTGAAAAATTGTTAAATTTAAAATGAGAGTTAATGAAGTTTAAGGTTTTTTTTAGCCTGTGTGAAACATGTTAGAAGTGACTTATAAATAGGATCATAGGAGTAAACTTTAATTTGAGTTTATCCTGATTTTTAATTTTTATATAATTTTGTATTTAATTAATTATTTTTTTGTGTGGTGCCTCTTCTTATTATATTTTTCGATGTATTATTTTTAAAAGTATATTTTCTATTATATGTAAATTTTTTGGGTCAAATATATTTAATTACTACTCCCTCCGTTTTTTATTATAAAAGATATTTGATGCTTATAGTATGTTCCCATATACTCCTTTGATTCGATTTATAGGGCAGAAGAAAGGTATTTTTTGGCCTGTTTATAGGGTACTGAGAGAAATTTTTTATATAGATGTACAATTTTACCCCTCATTTATTATTGTGTTGATTTTGTTTATATGAGGTATAATATATATTAAATAGGGATAAAGTTGAAAATTCATTAAATTTTAAATGAGTTAATGAAATTTAAGGTTTTTTTAGCCTGTGTGAAACATGTTGGAAGTGTTTTATAAATAGAACCAGTGGAGTATAAGAGACACTTAAAAATTGTTTTTATTTTTTTATTAATTTTTTATTTTATCTTATTTATTTTGTCTCCAACTCACACACTCTCTCTCCCCATTTCTCTTTCTTTTAATAATTTAATTATTCCTTCTCATGCTCTCTCCTTATCAATGAGGGTATTGTTAGAAAAAATATTATACTTTTTACATATCAATTATTTTTAACCAATTTTAACTGTTTTTTTAATCAATATAATTTGATTATTTGTCTCTTGCAATATAATAAGTAACGGAGGGAGTATAATTATGAGTTGGTAAAAACTGATCTCTGGCTTCACTGGCACACTAACTCACAGCATTGCGAGTGAAAGACAAAAATAAATAAATGTAGTTACAGTCAGAGAGTCAAAGGAAATGAGATGAAACGAACCGAATCCAAATTCAACGGCCGAACACGAACAGTGTGCTTTTTCTCTTGAAAATCTAAAACAAGCGTACGTCACAAGCCAGATGAAATAACTCACCATTAAATGTTAATGAGCAAATTTTCTGAACTTCACCATAATTATTTAATTAATGATCATTATTACACCTTAAATTCACCTTGATATCATAACCCTACACGGCTATAACCTTTAATTTTTTTTTTGGGTCAAAAGGCTATAACCTTTAATTTAGATACTCCATACACTTGTCAAATACTCGCATTTGCAAGTTACTTTTATAATTGCTGGTAAAAGAAAGTTACTTTTATAATTGAAAAAGATATTAGATTTTATTAATTCTATTTTAAAATTAAATAATTTTTAGATTTTATTTCTATTTAATGTATTTTTCCCCCTAAAACTTTACTTCCTCCATTCTTTATTATAAGAGATAAATAACCAAATTACGTTAATAAAAAAACAGTTAAAATTAGTTGAGGACAATTAATGTGTAGAAAGTATAATGTTTTTTCCAACAATGTCTCCATTAATAAGGAGAGAGAGTATGAAAGAGAACAATTAAATTATTAAAAGAAAGAGAAGTGGGAGGGAGAGAGAATATGAGTTGGAGACAAAATAAATAGGGGTAAAATAGAAAATCAATACAAAAAAATAGAGACAACTTTTAAGTATCTCTTATATATGGGAACATGCCATAAGCATCAAATGTCTCTTATAATAAGGAATGGAGGGAGTATTTGGTTCAATGGAAGAAAGGAGAAGAGAGATTAATTAAAAGGAGGGAAAAAAAGGGGAAGGGGTTATGATTTTGTTTAGTTCAAAAGAAAGCAATGGGAAGGGATGTTTCTTGTTTGGTTGGAAGAGGAATGAGAGCTAATTATAAAGTAACAAATATGTCTTTATCCTTTTATTTAAAATTTTTATTATTTTATTATAATATTTAAATCAGAATTATTATTTTCTAATTTATGAGTCTCAAAAAATTAATCACCATACCTACATGTGACAAAAAATATTATATCCATTTTAAGTAATATTTTTTTATTAATTATAACATATCGTTTTGCAAATTTCAATATGCTTGTTAAATTTTTAGTACGATAAAAATAAAAAATAAAATGGATTGTTGTCCCCACATGTAAAATATTTGTATATATTTGTTGTTAGTCTCTGACGCACAAACTACTTCTTCTAAATATAAAAAAAAAATACTTTCCATTAAAAGATTAAAAATAGCAGAAAAAGACTAGCAGCTTATCTGAAAAAGAGGTGGAGGTGAAAAAAGGGGGTTTTAGTAAGAAAGGGCAAACTTGTAATATTAATATTAGTAAGGATAATTTAGTTAGGATGACCTATAAATATTTTTTTTCTCTTCCAAAAAACCCTCAATTTAAAAAGGAGTAAAAGGAGAAAAGAGAAGCATTAAA